ACCTTCGTGCTTTTTGCGGTGATTCCATACTACAGTATCGCTGCACTTGTGTCTGCATAACACAATAGACGGCACACCAGTAGATGATGGTTCCGAAGAGTACATTCCAGATGTTGTTGTGATTGTAGAGATCAAACTTGAAACTGATTTTTGTATGAATTACTTAATTATAATATATTTTATTATAAAAATATTTATTAGTTTACTTGAAGAATATAAGACGACCGCCTTCTTTGTTGATCCGCCAGAGCTCACCCAAACCGCCCGCTTCTATAGACCCCTTCAATCCGTTTCAATGATAGTATCAAATATTATTAGCGATAGTTAACAATAGTTTAAATGATTAAATGGCTATTACCTGAACGATAACCATAAAGACACCCAAAAACATAAGAATACATTGCAATACATCCGTCCAAATGACTGCTTTAATTCCTCCCTAAAACTCAATTAGTTTTTGCAATTTTTAAAATTTTATAATATATTTACAAAACTTATGTTTTAGTAAAACTTACAACTGATGTATAGAAAGTACAAATAAGGCCCACGACTAGAATACATGTAGGAATTGATAGCGGGGTAACTGTTTTATCATAAAAGTGTCATTAATTTTAAACAATATTAGTATCTTTTTTGCATTTTATTACCAGAACTTAGTGCTAGCGCCGGACCATACAATACTACTGCCATATAAGGTATCTATTATGCAATTATAACAATTATGGTAATTAATATTGACTAATAATATTTGACATATTGATGGTCATACAGTGGCCAATAGAAACCCTATAGTTCCGGCCAAACGGATGTATTGGGAATCAAATCGTTTGGATAAATACTAATAAAAAATTTTATATATTTGTTTCATCATATACAATTAAATGTATTTAGTAAACATTTAAAATATTGTCATCATACCTCGTGAACACTAATAACTTCGAGTTTATAATATATTGGCATAAATACTTCGGCGGCCAATATTATGGACAAAACAATGGACACATTCTGGAGCACGAATTGAGTGCCCACTTGATAAACTTCTGCCGGCGCTCCCAATATGGTGTTTGTGGACATAAAACTGGCCACAAGTGATAGTGTGACCGGAAATACACCCAACTTTCGGTTACCCGTAAGGAATTCACTGTTTGAGGCATTGTTTCGCGATTTCCACCAGAAGTAGACTCCAATCAAAGAGGAGGCGATTAATAGGAAACCGAACACAAAGTAATCAATTATTGAGAAGTTTGTGCTCAACATTTTGTTTCGCAAGTTTTTCTAAAAAATATTTTATTTCATTGGTATAGATATGACTTGAATTACTTATATCTGATAAATTGATGACAAAATTGAAATTAAATATAGTTTTCAAAATTTAAATATAAAGTTAAAATTTTAAAAATATCGTTCACTGACACCCCATATGATGTTCTGGTAAAAAAGGTTTACTAATCTCCTAATTAAGACTAATTTTTGAAATGTTTTGATTAAAACACTTTATCTTACTATCAACTGATTTATTGATTTTGAGTCAAAAAGTGTTTTTTCTTACATAAGGCCAATACTATTAACAGGAAATGTGTTATAATATTATTTTATGAAAGTGTCTCGACATTTATCCAATCAAAGGAACAGTTTATTTATAGAAATGGCATTAATTTGAAGATTAAAACAAATGCTAAGAAATGACTAATTAATTGATTAAAAATATCAATTCCTCGTTTGATTTCTCTGTATCTGTTTGTCATCCAATTGTCAAGAAGTTGTAAATACTGTCTAACATTTGATTAAATAATCACTTTATAATGTAATTTATAAAAACATAAAAATTATAATAAATTTGCGAAAACTTATGTTTTGAGTCCAGAAATTGATATAAAAAGAAATAAAATGTAAAATTAAGTGATACACAAATGTTGTGATAAATACTCACGAGTTATGAAAACAAAATTTGTTGATTATTCAATTTATTTGTTACTATTATTATTGGCGACAAATTTGATATTAAGTCCAAACAGAAGTGATAATATGTATGTTTTATTGTAAAAGAGACAAATTATAATGGTTTTAAGTTACATTTTAATATTGAATTAAACATTTTACATTTTATTACACAATTGTAATTTTGTACAAACATCTACTTAATTAGTTACTTCATTATACTTCATCATGAATTTTATAATTTAATGTAGATATCAATCATTAACCAATATGCTCATTTATAACAGTTTAAATATTTATACAATAATTATTATTAAATAAAATAAAATTTATATACAGTATTAAATATAATTAAATATCAAATAATTTATTATTTAAAGTTATAATATTTAAAATCTTTTTAATCTACTTACTAATCTCTAAGTTTGTTTACGTAGGAAATAGTTACATACCTTAATAATTCGACAATTTATCGTTTTAAATAATTTTTAAAAATAAATTTATATAAAAGTTTGTTTATATATTAAACAAATAGTTTAAATAAACTTTTTTAAAGTAATAATTATAATACATTCACTTTAGATTTGTTTTATTGAATTTAAAACATCAAATGAAATGTAATAATAAATGGCTTTAAATTAAAAATTCATTCATTAATGCATTCATTATTTATAGTCAATTGATTGCATTTAATCTCAGTTTCAATTGAATTACACTTTTATGCCAACAATTATTACATAACTATCAAAATTTTGAAAATT